GAATGAAAGGAGGAGGAAAAAACACATTTAAAAAAATAGAGCAACAGTTAAAGCAAAGTCAGGTGAGTGTTTAGTGGTAACTCTCAATTTTGTTTAGTGCACCTAGACAAGTTGTCAATATTTGCATGATAAGCAGGAAGAAAGGAAGGAAGGAAGGAAGGAAGGATGATAAAGAGTATGGAGAATTCCTAGATAAAGCTCCTCAACAAATCCGCTTCACTGCTCTTCAGTGTTGCGAGAGTGATCACTTTCTTGAGACGCTCCAATGGGTGTCCATCTGTAAAATAAGAGCAATGCGAGTTTGCATGTTTCATTGTTTCTGTCACTTTTGAATTCTATTTTTGACATGCACAATGTGTTTTAGGAGGGGAAAAGGCTGATGGGATAGATACCCAGGCAATGTGAATCATTGACATCAAGGGGCCAGAGGATTTGCCGGACCACGGGAAGTCAATATTGTAGTGAGTGGGTCTCTTTATTTCACCAAGAAGGATAAATGGAACAATGTTCGTGATGCTGCTTAATACTGTATGACTGCCCAGTGCTTTCTCAGCCTCCTACATTGAGGGGTTTGGGCGTGGTTTTCGGCAGAAGAGAAGAGTGAGGGGGGATTCGCTAGCAGCCTCCAACTTAACTGGTTAATGCACTGCAAAGGCAATTTCCCCTCCGTTGATATTCACATCTCCATTCCACATTTGCAGAAAAGAGCGTCTAGATTAGCACGGACGCTTTTCTGCAAAAGTACTTTTTGTGGAAAAGCGTCCATGCCAATCTAGACGCGGTTTTGTGCAAAAAAAAGCCCCAATCGCCATTTTCGCCATCGGGACTTTTTTTGCACAAAACAATACCGCATTGTCTACGCTGGCCCTCTTGCACAAAAGCATTTGCACAAGAGGGCTCTTGCCTGAACAGGAGCAGCATAGCATTTCCGCAAGCAGCGCTGATTTCAGACAGTAGGAGGTTGAATCTGGACAGATGGCATCCTTTTTTGCAAGTAAAGAACAGGGGAAATATCTGACCACAGGGAACGACAGATCCTTGAAGAAGAAGTCCTGATTAGATTATTAAAGGTTTGGATCAACGGGTTTAAACAAAAGAATAAATTCTCCAACATTCATGGCAAGTCCAAGAAGTACACGATAATTGTATGAACTCTTAACATGTTGTTACTTTCCTTAATAAGTTGGAGTCAGCGAACATGGCGTTAGTAGGCCTAGTGCTTTGCATTTGTTCGCTCTTTATAAATATTTATTACTGGTTGGGTGTAATTGCTTTGTATTTAGATGTTTAGACATATGTAAAGCCATTGTGAAAGCATCATTCGGCCTTTGCATGTAATCAACGAAGTAGAATTGATGAAGAATTTTTAATGAAAAAATGAAGTTAATAGGTAGCAGGTTTAAAACTAAGTTCTTCTTCACACAGCGTGTAGTCAACCTGTGGAACTCCTCGCCAGAGGAGGCTGTGAAGGCTAGGACTATAACAGAATTTAAAGAGAAGCTAGATAATTTCATGGAGGTTAGGTCCATAAAAGGCTATTAGCCAGGGGATAAAATGGTGCCCCTGGCCTCTGTTTGTCAGAGGCTGGAGAGGGATGGCAGGAGACAAATTGCTTGATCATTGTCTTCAGTCCACCCTCTCTGGGGCATCTGGTGCTGGCCACTGTCAGCAGACAGGATACTGGGCTAGATGGACCTTTGGTCTGACCCAGTACGGCCGTTCTTATGTTCTTATGTAATTAGTGGCTGGTGGGTATTCTGAATTACTAATTTCTACAACAATTATTCCAAGCTGAAATGGAAAGAAATATTTTGACTCTGAGATGCTGCAACCACGTCTCAAAACTGCTCAAGTTCCAGAGGTTCCTGACTCTATTGTATGTTACAGAGTAGATTCATGGGAAGACTACATCTCCCATGATGCATCACAGTTTAATTTCTTGGGCAGAGGATGTGGTGCTTCATGGGATTTTGGACATTTTTCTGAAAAATAACCCCTGCAGTCTAGATGCACCCTAAGAGGCTAATTATCAGAAGAGTTCTGCTAATTAAGAGAGAGACATTTCCAGAGAGTTATTTTAGGCTATCAAGTTTCAAAAGAGTAGTTATGTTAATCTTTTTCACCAAAAATAAGTTATGTGGCACCTTAAAGACTAACAAATTTGGGCCTGAGATTTGATTGGCTGGATCCCACTTCATCAGATGCATCTGAAAATGTGGGTTCCAGCCCACAATAGCTTCTGCCCAATAAATGAGCCATAAAGTCTCCTCCCTGGTTTGGGTGAAACAGATTCACATGGCTACCCCTCTGAAATTTATCCATACATAAGAATGGCCAGATTGGCCCAGTGTCCTATCTGCCCACAGTGGCCAATGACAGCTGCTCTGGAGGGAGGGAACAAAATAGGTAATTTTCATGTGATCCTTCCCCTGTCACCCACCTCCAGACAAACAGAGACTAGGGACACCATTCCTGCCCATCCTGGCTAATAGACATTGATGGACCTAACATCCATGAATCTATCTAGATCTTTTTTGGACCTTGTTCTTCACAACATCCTCTGGCGAGGAGTTCCACAGATTGACTGTGTGCCGAGTGAAGAAAAACTTCCTTTTGTTTGTTTTAAACCTACTGCCTATTCATTTCATTTGGTGACCCCTACTTCTTATATTGTGGGAATAAGTCAATAACTTTTCCTTATTCACTTTCTCCACACCACTCATGCTTTTATAGACCTCTATCCTATCCCCCATCGTTGCCTCTTTTCTAAACTGAAAAGTCCAAGTCTTTTTACTCTCTCGTACAGCAGCTGTAGGTAGTCCAAGTCCAAATGTGAGTTGTAATCTACCTGTAATCCCAACATTTTCTTCCCGGATTATGCAAAAATCCAGAGCAGGGGAGCCTCCAGAACCAACCAGCTTCCGCGCTGAAGCAACTCCAATTCATTTTCCCTCAAAGAGGCTTGCAAGGTTGTGAAGCCACCAATTTCCTGAGTGCTTTTCTCAGGGCCTCCTTGACCTCTCTGTTCCTCAGGCTATAGATGAGGGGATTGGCCAGGGGGGTCAGGACCGTGTAGAAAACGGAGAAGGTTTTGTGGAGGTCTCTCCGCATGGTGGAGCCCGGCAGCATGTAGATCATGCTCAGGGTTCCATAGAAAACGGTCACCACGATGAGGTGGGAGGAGCAGGTGGAAAAGGCCCTTTGCCGCCCCCTGCTGGAAGGGATCCTCAGGATGGAGATCAAGATATAAACGTAGGACGTCAGCGTTAACGTAAAAGGGGGCAGCGTGTAGACGGCAGCCAGCGTGAATGCCACACGTTCCATGAACTCAGCATCGCTGCAGGAAAGCTTGAGCATGGGGGTGAAATCACAGAAGAAATGGTCAATTTCATTGGGCCCGCAGAACGTTAACCGCGACATGAAAACAATGGTGACCGAGTTAGCAAGAAATCCACTGAGCCACGACCCGCCAGCTAGCTGCAGGCAGAACCTGCCATGCATCAGGGACGCATAATGCAGGGGCTGGCATATTGCTAAATACCGGTCGTAAGACATCACGGAGAGGAGATAGCACTCGGCGCCGGCCAGGCAAGCGAAGAAATAAAATTGCAGGAAACACCCGCTAAATAAAACAGTCCTGTCCCCCGTCAGGAGACTGGCCAGCAGCCGGGGCAGGATGGTAGAGCTGTAGCAGATCTCTAGGCAGGACAGGTTCCCCAGGAAGAAGTACATGGGGGTGTGGAGGTGACAATCGGCCACCACCAGCACAAGGATGAAGATGTTCCCAGCCATGGTCATGATATAGATCGTGAAAAACAGCAGGAAGAGAACGGTCTGAAGTTCTGAGCAGTCCCCAAATCCCAGGAGGGTAAATTCAGTGACCAACGTTTGATTTCCCCAGTCTCCATCTGCCATAGGCTGTATCTAGTTAAACAAATATCAGAGGGGTCGCTGTGTTAGTCTGAATCTGCAAAAGCGGCGAGGAGTCCAGTGGTACCTTAGAGACTAACCGAAGTGTTGGAGCAGAAGCTTTCGTGGGCAAAGACCCACTTCGTCAGATGCATGCAAGATGAAGTGGGTCTTTGCCCATGAAAGCTGATGCTCCAACATTTCAGTTAGTTTATAAGGTGCCACAGGACTCCTCGCCGCTTTAGTTATACAAAGAAGACAACATAACGTGAGTGCCATAGAGTTAAACACTAAGGGTATGTCTACACTACCCCGCTAGTTCGAAGGATGCAGTCATCCGCAGTTGCAAATGAAGCCCGAGATTTGAATTTCCCGGGCTTCATTTGCATGAAGCCGGCCGGTGCCATTTTTACATGCCGGCTAGTTCAAACCCCGTGCCGCGTGGCTACACGCGGCATGGAGTAGCTAGTTCGGATTAGGCTTCTAATCTGAACTAGCTGTACTCCGCGTGGAAGCCTAATCCGATTAGGAAGCCTAATCCGAACTAGCTACTCCGTGCCGCGTGTAACCGCGCAGCACGGGGTCCGAACTAGCCAGCATTTAAAAATGGCGCCGGCCGGCTTCATGCAAATGAAGCCCGGGAAATCCAAATCCTGGGCATCATTTGCAACTACGGATGACTACATTACCCCCGCTAGTTCCAACTAGGGGGGTAGTGTAGACATACCCTAATATAGATTCACAGAACCATAGAACATCAGAAGTGGAAGGGACCTCGAGGGGTCATCAAGTCTAATCCCCTGCCCTCCTGGCAGGAACAAGCACTGTCTAGACCATCCCTGACAGATGTCTATCCAACCTGCTCCAGTGATGCAGATTCCATAATGTCATCTCCCAGTCATAGACACTTGGATGATCCAAGGACTGGAAAACCGACCTTACCACAGGGGTATCAAGGGATGGAGCTTGTTTATCCTAAGAAAACAGAGGCTGGGGGAAATAGGAGGGTTCCCTATCAAAATGCCAGATGGGTAAACACCAGGGAGAGTGAACAATGAATTAAATGGAAGGACATACATTGTAGGACAATTTATAAAGAGAGATTAAAAAGCCCAGTGTCCTGCCCACAGTGCCCAATGCCAGATGCCCCAGAGGGAGTGAACAGAAACAGGGAATCATCTGGTGATCCCTCTCCTGTCATCCATTTCCAGCCCCTGATGAAGTCTAGGGACACCATTCTGACCCATTTTGGTTAATCAGTATTGACGGGTCCATGAATTTATCTAGTTCTTTTTGAAACCCTGTTAAAGTCCTGGTCTCAACCTGCTACCTCTTCATTTCATTGGGTGACCCCTAGTTTGAATGTTGTGAGAACAAGTTAATAACTTTTCCTTATTCCCTTTCTCCACACCAGTCATGATTTTATAGCCCTCTGTCCTATTCCCTCTTAGTCTCTGCTTTTCTAAGCTCAAAAATCCCCGTCTTTTCCACTGACATTTGAAAGGGGATGCGCGAATCTGTCAGACGTGTCTCAATCCACACCTCACGGCAGACGAGTTTAATGAACCCGATGAATATAACTGAAAGGTTGCTGCCTCTCCCTTTCATCTCACTCTCTTCAATCTAGTCGTGATTATTCATCCTAGTTTTGTACAGAACCTAGTTAATGAACCCGATGAATATAACTGAAAAGTTGCTGCCTCTCCCTTTCATCTCACACTCTTCAATCTAGTCATGATAATTCATCCTAGTTTTGTACAGAACCTAAGTCAGCCGTCAAGGAGAATTTCTACCAATGACAGGACAGAATTCGTGCCAGCCCTGAGTTTTTTCCTGAGCTTGGTGAATATTCATTGCCCCCAAATTTGGAATGAAGTGGTTTCGTTTTGCCCTCGTTGTTTTCCATCAGAACAAAACCCAGCATTTATAAAGGGATGCTGTCAATTTCAGAGATAGCCGCCTCATCTTATCTTGGTGTAGCTGGCTCAACTGGTTGCTCTGTTAGTTGTCTCAAGAAGAAAAATTAAGGGAGCAGTTGTCTAGTGGCCAGGGCGCAAGACAGAGAGGCAAGAGTGGGCCATGAAGAATGGCAGAATGGGTCAAGTGGAGGTGAGATATTGGCATCTGGATTAGGAATGAGAGATTGTCTAGTAGAACGGATGGCGTGGCCACCACAAAGGGATGTCTGAGAGACAGGCTGAGTCGAAAGAGAGCCTGCAACACACGCAGCCAGACGTCGGATCCCAGTTTGGACAGCAGGAGAGAGGTTAGGAGGAGAGAGGTGGGTTTGTAAATTGCCAGCACAGAGAAGGTAGATCAATGAGTGTTTGTGGTTGAGATCACTCAAAGATAAAGTGGAGAACCAAAAAGGTGACCCAGGACAGAGCCCTACCATACCCCACCTCAAAAATGCGGAGAGGGGATGAGGGACATCTATTGAAGCACATGCTGAAGGAATGATTGGAGAAGACAGAGTTGCAGAAGCCAAAGGAGAACATGATTTCAGGAGGAGCACGGTCAATGCTTTTGGAAGGGGCTGACAGGTGCAAGAGAATGAGGACAATGTACCGACTGTGAGATCGGGCTAGCATGAGGTCATGACAGATTTTGGCAAGAGGCATTTCAAGGATAGAAGCTGGATTTCATAAAATCAGAACCAGATGGGAACTCAAAAGTCATCGAATCCAGTCCCCTGCCCACACGGCATAACCAAGCAACATCTAGATCATCCCTGATAGATGTCTATCCAACCTACTCGTAAACATCTCCGGTGATGGAGATTGTACAACCTCCCTAGTTAATTTATTCCAGTGTTTCCCACCCAGACAGGCAGGAAGTTTTTCCTCATGTCCAACCTCAACCTCCCTTGCTGCAGTTTAAGCCCATTGCTCCTTGTCCTGTCCTCAGAGGACAAGGAGAACAATTGTCTCCCAATGTCACGTCCAAGGAATGTGTCCGCTTTTCTGAAAAAAAATTGGAAAAGTGGACGTGCTCTTTCACCATCCCTGTAAACCTTGTTTTATGAGGAAGAAGGGATGGCTCGAAAGAACAGGTTTTTCTGAAATTTGATGCTGTGTAGACACGCCAAATTTCGGAAAGGCCTCTTTCGAAAGGAAAGCGGAGAAAGGTTCTCAATTTGCGTACCTGACTTTTCTTTGTAGGCTAGATGTAGCCTTATCTAGCATAGGATCTAGCCTACACTTGGTTGCTTAATGCAAAATAAGGAGGAGTTGAGATGAATTAAAAATCGAAGCCAATGAGAAAAAAACAAGTAAAGACTGATAGCTCCAAATTCATACTAAGCAAGAGCAGGACCTTGAAGGGATTACCTCTGATCTCACAGTGGTGGGTGAGGAGTAGGAAGGTCTCGCGGCTCACTTTGGTCTTTCACGTCTCTCCAGAACTACGATGAAGACCCCAGATAGCAACCGAGAGATCTGCCAATGCTATGGCCATCTGTAAGATCAAGCTCTTTATGAAGGAGGGACGCGTGCTCATATTTGTGCCTTTTCAGAGGAAGGCTGCATTGCTCCTGACTGCGTCTCTCTGTGGGATGTTGAAGCGACCGACTCAAGGGAGTTTCCACAGGGACTTTTGATTCGATGGCACAAACAAAGGGCAGGAGGCAGCTACCTTCCTAAGGCCACATGCAATTTCTCCTGTCGTCATGGGGGCCAGTAAACGTTTTCTGACAAAACCTTTCTGGATGGAAAATTAGGTGTTTAACTGAGGAAAAGAAGAGGAAAAAAATCATCTGTTTTCCTCAAAAAAAAAAATGAAATGTATTTGGAAAAGCTATTCCCCCCCAAAATGTGGATTTTTCACCAATATTCATAAAATCACAGAACACTAGGACTAGAAGGGCTCTTGAGAGGTGATTAAGTCCAGTCCCTTGCCCTCCCAGCCGGACCAAGAACTGTCTAGAGCATCCCTGACAGGTGTCTGTCCAACCTGCTCTTAAATATCACCCGTGATGGAAATTCCACAACCCCCCTGGGCAATTTAGTCCAGTGTTTCACCACCCGCACAGGTAGGAAGTTTTTCTTAATGTCCAACCTAAACCTCCCTTGCTGCAGTTTAAGCCCATCACTTATTTTGGGGATGTTCAACAATTCTGTGTGGTGTAAACCTGTTTCTGTGAATGTGTCCTAACTTTATAAACACAAAAGTTCATCATTAAATCCAGTAAAATTACTCTAGTGTGGAGGAGGAATTTGCGAGGCTGGTTGGGGATCTTTATAAACACAAAAGTTCATCATTAAATCCAGTAAAATTACTCTAGTGTGGAGGAGGAATTTGTTCTATCTACAAGGCCCTGGCCGGGTTGATTTAGTTGGAATTGGTCTTGCCTAGAGCAACGGGCTGGACATGATGACCTTCTAAGGTCTCTTCCAGCTCTATGGTTCTATGATTCTATTAATGTGCTGTGTTACATTTCAGTAATTAGGAACAATCCACTTGTGTTCATAGAATCCTAGAATCCTACGGTTGGAAGAGACCTCAGGAGTCATCAAATCCAGCTCCCTGCCCAAGGCAGGACCAATCCCAGCTAAATCAACCCAGCCAGGGCTTGGTCAAGCTGAGACTTAAACACCTCTAGGGATGGAGATTCCACCTTCTCCCTAGGGAACCCATCCCAGGGCTTCCCCATCCTCCTAGCAAAACAGGAGCTCCACAGTTCATGACACAACACGGAGGTCGTGTGTTCTTCAGGGCCCATCCTTCTCACAGATTCACACCCCTTTTCACTTCTCTCTGTACATCATTTGTCAGCCTTGTTCCTCCTTTCTCGCCCTTCCATTTCAGCAGCCGACACCTCTCCACCTGGCTCAGTCCCGCATAATCCTATCTTCCCACCTTTCTTTCCTTCCAAATTTCATCCGCTGGGAGCCACCTCAGACAATGGAACGATCCCCACAGGGAATGGCCGGTGCAACAACAGTCGTAGGCCTCACGCCTTCAGCAAGGGGTCTCCCACCCATCCAGGGCATTGCTGTTTACATGGGGTCTTTGTTCCAGATGGAAATGCCGAGGTTCCACCTGCCGTGACAGAAGTCCATTGGCTGTCCGGTCTGAGATTCTCAGGGCAGCCTAAGGGGGTTGAGAGCTGTGTCAAAGGGATTTCGGTGCCCAAATCCACTAGGCCCCCTGGGGAATCCTTTCCACCAAGTTGTGGCCCTGCGTTTCTCCCTGATGGCCAGACCCTCTGACCAAGCCCTGATGTGCTCCCAAGTGACTGAACCACCACTCCCATGTTTGGCACCTCAGGACGTCTGCCTATTGGAAGGTGACAGCCGCATCCTCTGGTCTCCGGTTGCCTCTCTCCCAGAGGAGGGGCCGCTGCATCGAACGGAGCTATCCGTGGCACCAGGACTACCATGGAAGTGGCTGTTTCGTAGGAGGATACATTTGGTACAGTAATAGACACCATGATGGGGATGGCAGATTTTCTGGGGTTACACCCCTTCATGCTGTACTGGGAGTTCGTATTTTCATTGGCCACGCCTTTATTTTGGACAAAAAATGGTTTCTTATGAGAAAATGATGGGTGACGACTTTATCCACACTCCATCCGGGGCCCCGTCAAAAGCTCCAGGTTTAAGGCGACCTCCCTCTCTGTGCCTTCCACGTAGACAGACAACATGGACCTCAGCGCCGGTTGGATTCTGCCTGGCTTCCTTGGAGGCTGGAATGACCCGATAGCAAGAGTGGAAAGTCATGATGGAGCGGGGAGGGTCATAGACACATATGTACAATGCAGCCCTAATTACTGGGATTGTCTTTATAAAATCAGTTTTGTCGACAAAAGTGGACTTTTGTCGACAAAACTATACCAGCGTCTACACTACTGCCGAGTTCTTTTGACATAACGTCGACAGAACTCGGCAGTTTTGTTGATGGTGGTAAACCTCATTCTACAAGGAATAACGCCTTTTGTCAACAGAGTTCTGTCGACAGAAGGCGTTATTGCATCTACACTGTCCTGTGCGTCTACACTCTCATGTCGACAAAACTGGCTGTAATCTAGATGCTCTTTGTCAACAGAAGCTTTGTCAACAGTATCTGTCGACAAAGTCTCTGTTGACAAAAGCCTGTAGTCTAGATGTACTCCTAGTCATCCTATTGGGAGCATAAGAAATTATCTGAAGGCATAAAACTTCTCACACAGTCGCCCACTATGTTTTATTTACTTAAGAGCATAAGCACAGCCAGACCAGGTCAGACCAAAGGTCCATCCAGCCCACTGTCCTGTCTTCTGGGCCAGGTGCCCAGAGGGAGTGAACAGAAACAGGGAATCATCAAGTGATCCCTCCCCTGTCACCCATTTCCAGCCCCTGGCAAGGTCTAGGGTCACGATTCCAACCCATTTTGATGAATAAATATCGATATACCTAACTTCCATGAATTTTCCAAGTTCTTTCTTGAACCCTGTGAAAGTCCTGCTCTCCAGAACATCCTCTGGCGAGGAGTTCCACAGATTGACTGTCCTCTGCGTGAAGAAAAACTTCCTTTTGTTTGTTTTAACCCTTTCTATTAGACTCCCAGAATTTGATTACCGGATTTTATTGTCTAACACAGAGAAACAGTGAACAACAGGGGATGTACACAGAGACATGCTTGGATATTCAGTGTCTCTTACACACCAGGACATTTCTGCGCAGTATCAAATGTGATGCATATTCCTCACCAAGACTGAATATTTCACCCGCATCACAGTGAAAAATACCATCATCCGGTGCTGAATACGAGAGATTGCTAGAATTGTCTACAACCTCCCATTCCAGTTGAGTTTCAAGGGCTCCGTGAGGGTTGTTAAACTCTCAGATGCAGTAACTCCACATGGATTGTCTCCATTTGTTTGTCCCTCCCTCAATATGGAGAGGAGACAGACTAGCCTTTCTAACTGAGCAGAGAATTCCTTAGTTCTTCAAGCAAAATACTGTTTAGGCTAAAAACTATAAATCAAGTTTATTAACTATAACGAGATAGATTTTACATGATTACAAGTGGCATGCACAAATGGACAGAGATGGTTACCACACAAAATAAAAATACGTGCACAGACAAAAACGTAACTCTTATTACACCAGACAGTGATTAGACTAAGTAGTGTTTTCCACCCACTAGAAATTACAGTCCTTGAAGGCCCGCTGAAGTCTGAACCGGTCTCCTGAGATTAATTTTGTTGCTTGTTTTAAATCTTTCGTCCATGCACCTGGCAGATCCTAGCCCACGCATGTACTATTGGGCTTTGTTGAGTCACCATAGTCAAGCAGCAAGTAGTCTTGTGGACTTCGAGACGAACAAAAATCTATTATAGGATCATGAGCTTTTGTGGGTAAAACCCACTTCCTCAGATGGGCTGGAGTGGAAATAACTGCAACCAAGATATTTATAACAGAGGGAAAAAAGTACTTGTCAATTGTTGGACAGGTGCTAATGAGGCTAATTAAGTGAGCTGGAAGTGTCCCATTATTAGTTGTGTGGGTCTTTTGAAGCTGAGTCATACATTTGATTACTGAGTAGTCAACAGCCATTGGAACTGGAATTGTTTGCACATCACTAGCACACTCATAGCACATTTCAGTCAAAACCATGCTCGTTCTCGATAGCTTTGCCCACACGACTCAGACGCGCCTTGGGACAGACCAACAGGTTTCAGCAACTCATGACCTGTCATATGATGCCTCATATGGCATGCATTCCATGAAATAATCAGAGCCCTGTATGAACGATAAATATGTGGGTTACCGGGTGCCATGTGGCGGTACCGACTGCTACATGCTGATATGTTCAAGGGGAGTTTTCAGCCTAATTTCGATGAGACCTGTTTGCCTACATCACATAGGCAACTTCAGTAATGACATAGGCTTCCCGGCAATTTCTTGTGAAAGCCACGTTTCCTGACAGCATTGGTCAAGGCTTCCCGGACCTCTTTGTTTCTGAGGCTGTAGATGAGGGGGTTTACTAGGGGAGTAAAGACGGTGTAGCAAAGAGAGAACATTTTTTTGAGGACTCTTAGGGAATCAAGTGTCGGTAGCATGTAGACAACCATTATCGTTCCATAGAAAATGGTCACCACCATGAGGTGGGAGGAGCAGGTGGAAAAGGCCTTTTGTCTTCCGGTGGTGGAAGGGATTCTCAGGATCGCGGTGATGATACACACGTAGGACGTCAGGGTTAGTAGGAACGGAGGCAGGGTGAATGCACAGGCAAATACGAAAACCATCAATACGATCAGGTGTGTGTCCCCACAGGCGAGTTTGATCAACGGGAGGGATTCACAATAGAAATGGTCAATTTCATTCGGGCCACAGAAAATGAACTGCGACATGAATAATATCAAGATCGTAGTCGCCAAACAACTGTTTAACCAGGACCCGGCAGCCAACTGGAGGCAAAACCTGCTACTCATAAGAGCTGAATAGTGCAGGGGTTTACATATGGCTAAATACCGATCGTACGACATCACCGCCAGGAGGTAGCATTCCGTAGATGCCAGAAGACCAAAGAAATAGAGTTGTGTGAAGCAGCCATTGACTGAGATGGTCCTGTCCCCAGTCAGGAGACCGGCCAGCATCCTGGGCAGGATGTCTGAGCTGTAGCAAATCTCCAAGCAGGACAAGTTCCCCAGGAAGAAGTACATGGGGGTGTGAAGGTGCCGATCGACCACAATCAGCACAACAATGAGGGTGTTCCCGGCCACGGAAAGAAATAGAGTTGTGTGAAGCAGCCATTGACTGAGATGGTCCTGTCCCCAGTCAGGAGACCGGCCAGCATCCTGGGCAGGATGTCTGAGCTGTAGCAAATCTCCAAGCAGGACAAGTTCCCCAGGAAGAAGTACATGGGGGTGTGAAGGTGCCGATCGACCACAATCAGCACAACAATGAGGGTGTTCCCGGCCACGG